ATTTGTACCCGGTTAGCTGATTTTGTTTGATTTTGGGTTGAATTTAAAGCTTTATGGGACTCAAACCTACCTTTTTTTTATATTAAAAATGTCAGAAATTGATTCAGCATCTTCAATATTCCTCCAAAATTGTCCAAAAATCGGCCAAGCATTTTTTTTGCAATTGTCTGCATTTTCTAATTAATGCAACTTATGCCAACTGCAAATTGTCAAATGTATGCAAGTTAGCATCCGGCGTTTTTTTGTGCTTGGGACCCGTACTATACATTTCTATCATAAAACTTGATGTACTCAACATTTCCTGGTTCATACTGCTGGCAAGTAGACCTGTGACTGTCTTTCTAAATGTTTCTTTCTTCCACAGACTCTCATCCATCTGATAGACAGAAAGACTTGCAAAGTACTCCAGACAAAGTACTACACCGGAGCGATGGTGGTCTACCATCACGTGAATGCTTTTGAGGACGACGGTCACGTGATTTTCGATGTGATCGCCTACAGTGACACCAGCCTTTACAACATGTTCTACCTGAGCAAGCTGAATGAAGGGTTCCAAGATGAGAGCTACTCCAAACCAAGCTACAAGCGATTTGTACTTCCCGTCCTCTCAGACAAGGTGCGGAAACAAAGGTATCAAATTGACTGCATCCTGACATTTTGAGAAGATGTTCTGCAACCCTGGATTATTTTGTGTTCGTAGGATGTGACAGTTGGAGAGGACCTGGTGAAACTCAAGTACACGACTGCCAGTGCTGTGAAGGAGAAGGAAGGCAAACTAATGTGCCAGGCAGAAGTGTTCTGCAAAGGTAAACCACTCAAACAGACCCCTAAATTAAGTAATTATTGCTCATTTGGTCTTTAAAAGAAATGCATTTGCTCATATAAATACAACATTTCCCATCAGGCTTTGAATTGCCAAGAATTAATTATGATTTCAACGGCAAGAAGCACCGGTTTGTCTACGGGAACTGTGTGGAGGAGTCGGCACTGGCTAAAGAGGTAAAACATTTTGTTTTTATTTGTATCCATCTTTGGGATTTCTCACAGTCCCATAATTGTTATGTACCAAGAGAGACCCATAACTTGCAGACTCTCATAGAAACTGAGATTTTAAAGGCTGGGATATTGGGAAACACATTATTTCTGGCAGAATTGTTTTTGCAGCGTTAGGAAGCAAATTGCAGAACTGAGAATTAGCAGTTGGCACATCAGGAGACTTGTTCATGGGACAAAAACAATGACCCAACTACTTTATGGCTCTGGCTCTAATACCCAAACACATTTTACAATTTGATACTCTTGTACATCAAGGTACCAGAAACAATGGAACAAACTCAGTGAGGCTTTGAAGTATTGAGTAACAAAGCTTCCCTTGCGTGTCACCGCACGCCTGACTCCACATTTTAGTGGAGGAACAAGCGGAAGGAACAAAAAAAACATCCTGTGTCTGACAATTAGACATTCTTTGTTTGTTCCCACTTGACACATAATACCAACAACATAAGAGAGTTTGGGCTTTTCTTTGAATATAATGACGTTTGTAATATGGAATAAAAAGCAGGAAAAACAAAAGCAGTTTTACATGGTGAGGGAAAGATATAGCACAATAGGGAACCTCTTTTTTGGGGGGGAAATAAGTATGGCTCATTTGGGAGGTCAAGTAGGGCGATCTTAGTAAAATAATAACAACATTATATACGCAAACAGGGAGGCAATCATTTCCATTGAGCCTTTATCTATTGAACGGCCTTGTCAAATCAAGTTTTATTTATATAGCACATTTATAAACGATTTTTGGTTGAGCCAAAGTGCTGTACATATAATAAAAATAGCCTACAGTAGAGACACTTTACAGCAAATACAACAGCACAGATTGTTCAGAATATCAGTATGAGAAAAACGACACCCTCTATCCTTAGACCCTCTGTCCTTAGACCCTCACATCGTACAAGGAAACACTTCCAGAGAAAACCCACAGTTTAAGGGGAACAAATGGGAGAAACCTCAGGGAGAGCAACAGAGGAGGGATCCCTCTCCCAGGACGGACAGACGTGCAATAGATGCCGTGTTTAAATCTAAGAGATAATACATTTTACAGCATATAGACCGAATGTTAGGAAATGCATGTGTCTGTAATAAGAAGACGAATCCACGAGGATGTCAGCTACAATCCTGTGGAAGCCATCAGGGAAGCAGCATGACGAGACCCAAGGCAGGACCGCAGAGACAGGTTCAGCCACGACCCGAAACGTCCACGACTTAATCCAGAACTCAGGATAGAGGATCCAAGACACAGGACTACAGCAAGAGGATCAGCCTCGACTCCGGATCCTGGCGTAGATATAGATACAAAACAAGAACAAAGATTTGGCTGGGTTAATCGGAACAAGAGAATACACAGACACAGACGGAGGGAAAAGGTCATTGGATAAAAGTTATTCTTGATAACCCTCTAGAAAGATCTCATGAACTTCCCCACTCAATCTATCAAGACCCGAGCAGTTCTATTAGATATAGGATAAGAAACAGAGATATGGAGCACAACAACTGGTCAGCATCATAAAACCTTATTTCAACAGCATTATATGCATTAATGGGATCTCTTCCACTGCCAGCTGAATAGAAAAGTTGGGTGACGTCTAAGTTGTGGGATTTCTACATCATAAAAAAAGATGATCTGACTCAATCAATTACCAGTCATAAATCCAGATTAAGTGCTAGAATCTGCAAGGACAACATGATAGTAACATGCTTATTGCTTACTTAATGCTATATCTGCTCAGTGTCTGGGCCCCTATGCTTCAGATGGCTTATAAAGGTGCCTCATCTTACACTAAACTGAACTTTAATCGTACTGATAATACAAAGTATTTTTTTTACAATGAATTATGCAGTACAAGCTGACAAACACAATACGTTTGCTGACTCATGAATAAACTCAGCAGATGACCATAGCTCATACATCTTTTTGGATTGCATCAATCAGGAATGAGAAATGCTGAAATATGATACACATTATTTTTTAATCAAGCAAAGGTGCATATGTATCGACTCAATCAAGCATTGCTATAATGATTTCAGAGATTCCCGATTGTGTTTTAGTTACAACATTGCACAGCAACAATTCAATGATCACCCAAATAAGATGTCATTTGTATTGTATTTTTGCATTAAGGAAACAGGGGTTTGACCGTTTCTGATATCAAACCAGCCTGTCTCCAAGTGTGGAGTAGTCTTAATCATAGTATGAGTTGTTTTTCTCCCTGCAAATGCTGCGGTTTCCTCCCACAGTTAGTGTATACAGTCCAAAAGGCCTGCAGGTGTGAAAGTAAGCTGAGCTGATACTAGGAAATAATTGATTTATATTTGCAGTACTAAGAAGGTCTAGTTTACAAATGAATAACTATATTGCACGTATACTGTATGGCGTGGAGTTGGGGCAAAGTACTACACAGTTATGCTGCTTGTCTAAAAGATGAGCTCTTTATGACCGCTTTTCTGGATGTAAGGCAGTGATACACAACTGAGGGGACGTGAGCCAAATGTGGCTGACAGAGTTTTTCTAAAACACAATGATATAAATTGATTCACGAAGGGAATATCTCCTAATATAAATAATCCTTTAAAAATAAGTGTGTTTAACAAACCCACCCAAAGCCTGACCTGTGCCCCTGGTTTTCTTAATTAAGTGGCCAGTGGCCGACTGTCATTTTGCAAAAGAATATTAAATGATTAAAGTAATATAATTAACATTAACAGGCTTTTCAAGTATCTGCTTGTAAACATTTGTGATTTCCCTTTCAACCTAGCTCCGAACTGTGTTTTTTGGTTGTGTTTTTTGATGATTTAAACTGCAAATAATTGCTGTTTACAACCTTTCTGAAGGAGTTATCAGTGCTGGTTTGTATTGATTTGTCGTGAACTGTTTTTACAGCATATTTTAATGATTTTCTTCATAACTTATCCATTTCCTGTAGATTGCGAAGTTTGACACAGAGACCAAGGAGAGGATTTTCTGGAGCGAGGAGAACTGCCTGCCTTCAGAGCCGGTGTTCATCCCCAGACCAAATGCAGAGTCAGAGGACGATGGTAATATACACTGTGTGATGTGCATTTACAATGATTTTTTTGTTGTTGTAAATAAAAAGTACATTTGGAAAATTGCCTTCCTTAGATTTTCATTCTAACAGTATTCTCTATCTTTTTTTAATTACAGGTGTGGTGTTAGTGTCAGTCATCAACAGCAACCCAGGCCAGTTGTGTTTCATCCTGTTTCTGGATGGCAAAACATTTAAAGAGGTAGCTCGAGCATACGTGGACGCTAAGCTCCCAATGGATATGCATGGCTTATTCATCCCGCAAGGAAATTAGTCAGTTAAACTATGCTGCATGGCACAGCGATCGGTTTGAACACTGAAACTCACTCTGATGAATAATGCTTCCAGACAAAAACTTGACGAAGATGCTTTCATGGACTAACTCATCGATGTAAGATTATAGGGATTGTATCAAAACAAAGTTCCTATTGGTATGTTTATTTAAAAAGGTGTGGATTTCTTAATAGTGTGTCAATCAAAATGCCATTTAAGCTTGTACATTATAGGCCCTCTCACTGTTTATTATGTAGTCCATATTACTCTATTTCACTGCTTTGACATTGTACTATTGCTCATCATTTTTTAATAAAATTGACTCTGTTCTACAAGTTAAGAGATGTGCTTTCATTCTACAGTTACTCCTAGATTTACAGACACATGGTGAAAGTGAGAAATCACAGGTTATCTTGGTCTGTACATCATGTGTTGGCAAAGCTCCTGAGAAAAGAGATTCACAATCAGCTAGTATCATGAAAACTCTAACCTGGTCATCTAAACAAAGTAAGCTGTAACCTGGTATATTAAGATAAAAGATTACAAAAAGTAGGTTGCTTTTCTGTGTCTGGGTTGTAGGTCTAAGGTTGACCACTAGAGAGCAACAATACCCATGTTTCTCCTTTTATTCTTAGATGGGACAACATTCAAAAATACTTCTGGACACTATTTATGTTTCCAACGGTAACATTTAATTGCATGTCAAAACTAATTTAGTGGACAAATGTGCAACATTGTACAGAAATGTCTTTGACAATGCCATACCATAACTCCCTGAAAGAGCAATAAAGAAAATATAACATGATCACTACACTGCAAACATACAGTTCATTAACAAACGTAAAAAATGCCCAATCTTCCAACAAGTCATTTATTTTCTTATAAGTTGATGTCGTCAAGAGGCTAAGACAAACAAGTAATGACTTCAGTTTTTAAAAAGGTAATGAAGACAGACATTCTTGGAGTGCATTTCCACAGATGTGATAATCAGAAAAATATTGTTCTATTATAGTATGGTGGTTTAAAAGGAAGGTTGGTAAATGTCAAATTCATAGGTAGTCTGTCGAATCACGGCTTTAAGCATTTAAAAAAAAACTCCCATAAACCGGGGAAATTCATACATCCAATAAACAGTTATATGCTACATTATAAAAACACACACAAGTGTATTGGAGTGCAATCAATGTTCTTTTGTTCAAGTTGCTTTTAAAAATGCTCAATGGTAGCGTTTAAACTTGTAAATCACATTATATGGACACATTTTGTACGTATAAAAACTTAACACCCTGTTTTTAATAAGCTAACTCCTGCATCTATTGCATCACATACTACAAGGCTGAAGACTTCTTCATAGACCATCTACAGGCGATGAGAGCGTTGATATTTCATCAAAATGTCCTGTGTTTTGTTCTGATTTGGACTGACTTTGATTGACCATTTGAAAGTGCCAGATTGCAGCATTATTTACATACACATATTTCAAATTGAATCAGTTGCATCTGAGATTTCAATTTTTTTTAATGAAACTGCTCAATGGAGCTGTGGTTGCCATAGCAATGACTTCCTGCTGGTGGCAGTAGGATTTTACGGTGTTTGTTCAAAGTCATTAGATGCAACCAGCCAATGAGAGGCCTAGCCTTCAGGGATCAGGTAAAGACAAAGAGGCGGTGGTTTGAGTCCATGAATGTGAGTTTAGCTGCCCTCAGCTTTCGCCTCCTCTTCTTTAGCTGCAGAGTCCTGGCTCTCCTTATTGTTTTCTCCCTCATCACCTGACAGAAGGACAAAAAGGGACAGTTACTTTAAGGTTATATTTGTGAATAGGGTGGGGTGAAACCGCAGAAACTACACACTAAGGTAGAAGGATCAACTCAAAACTGTTACGGTGTGTGCAGGAAGCAGGACCCAAATGCAGATTAAAGTAACAAAAAATAGCTCCTTTATTTCAAGGCTCAACTATTAACAAATACAGAACAGAACACTCACCGCAGACCAAGTCAAAACACAAGACGAACCAACACTGAACACAGGAAGAGAACAGACTAAATACAGGGAGGGGTAATCACAAAACTAGGGCCACCAGGGTGGGTGGAGGGGGTCCGGAGGACGGGTCTGGGCTGACAACCCAAGAGCACCGCGCAGGACCCGGAAGGGATCTCGGGCGGACGGCCCGGGGGCAAGGCAGAAGCCGAGAAGGGGGACTCGGGCGGACGGCCCGGGGGCAAGACAGAGTCCAAGGTGGGAGTTATGGAGGGGCGAAGGCCACCACGGGCGAACTCAGGGGGCCGATCATGAGGGCGAGGGCCGCGGCCGGGAAAGTCAGGGGGCCGGGCTCGAGGGTGAAGACTGCGGCTCTCAGAGGGCCGGGCTCGAGGGCGAAGACCAGCCAGCGCCGGAGGCAGGGCAGGACCCGGTGGGACAGGCCTCGGCAGGATCCCCCACGGAAGAGGACCAGGACACGGGATTGGCAGGACCCCCGGCAGGAGAGCAGTCGGCGGGACCTCCAACGGGACAGGACATAGGGTTGGCAGGACCCCCGGCAGGAGAGTAGTCGATGGGGCCTCCAACGGCACAGGACATAGGATTGGCAGGACCCCGGCAGGAGAGTAGACGGCGGGACCTCCAACGAGACAGGGCAAAGGGTTGGCAGGACCCCCGGCAGGAGAGTAGTCGGCGGGGCCTCCAACGGCACAGGACAAAGGGTTGGCAGGACCCCCGGCAGGAGAGTAGTCGGCGGGACCTCCAACGAGACAGGACAAGGAGCTAGCAGGACCCCCGGCAGGAGAGTAGTCGGCGGGGCCTCCAATGGGACAGACATACGATTGATAGGACCCCCGGCAGAGGAGTAGTCAACGGGGCCTCCAACGGGACAGGACATGGAGTTGGCAGGACCCCCAGCGGAACCCCCAACGGACCAGGACATTGGGTAGGGACTTGAGACGTGACTCGAGAGGGGACTCGCGAGGAGACTCGAGAGGGGAACCAAGGGGGAACTCGAGAGGAGACTCGAGAGGGGAACTAGAGAGGGGACTCGAGAGGGGACTAGAGGAGAGAGGAGGGACTAGAGGAGGGACTAGAGGAGGAACTAGAGAAGGGAACTCGAGAGGGGAACTAGAGAGGGGACTTGAGGAGGGACTAGAGAGGGGACTCGAGGAGGGACTAAAGGAGGGACTAGAGCAGGGACTAAAGGAGGGACTAGAGGAGGGACTAAAGGAGGGACTAGAGGAGGGACTAAAGGAGGGACTAGAGGAGGGAACTCGAGAGGGAATTCGAGAGGGAACTGGAGAGGGGACTGGAGAGGGGACTGGAGAGGGGACTCGAGAAGTGACTAGAGGAGGGACTAGAGATGGGACTAGGGAATTGACTAGAGGAGGGACTTGAGTAGGGACTAGAGATGGGACTAGAGAAGGGACTAGAGGAGGGACTAGAGGAGGGACTCGGGAAGGGACCAGAGAGGGGACTAGAGAAGTGACTAGAGGAGGGACTTGAGAAGGGACTAGAGATAGAACTTGAGAGGTGACTCGAGAGGGGACTCGAGAAGGAACTTGAGAGGAAACTGGAGAGGGGACTTGAGAAGGAACTTGAGAGGAAACTGGAGAGGGGACTCGGGAGGGAACTGGAGAGGGGACTTGAGAAGAAACTGGAGAGGGGACTCGAGAGGAAACTTGAGATGGGACTGTGGCAGCTGGGGCCAGAGCTGGGTCTGGAACCATGGCCGCTGGGGCCAGAACTGGGTCTGGAACCATGGCTGCTGGGGCCAGAACTGGGGCTGGAACCATGGCTGTGTGGGCCGGTTCTGTAGCCGGAACCATGGCTGCTCGGGCTGCTAGCCTGGCCTTGCGACGACTCCTTTTAGCAGCCGCCTGAATACTCCGTGGACCTCCATAAGCCAGACGAGTTCCGGAATACAACTCCTGGACAGGAGCAGGAACTGGGGCAGAAGCACGGGTTGACTTCAGGCGGAACCCACCAAGGCGTATTGTGCCAGGTTGGGAATTGGGAGACATGGAGCTAGCATGCCTGGGGCTAGCAGGCCGGGAATCAGGTTTGACCTCAAAGCTGCCAAAAAAGTCCTCCACCCACTCGGGTAGCAACTCCCTCAACCAGGGCCTTGAGGTTACCTCCTGGCGTAACGCAGAAAAAACGGACTGCCTCTCTTCACTACTGGAGGCATATTTAAAGTCATTCCTCAAACATGTCAAATTGTACTCCACCTCGTACAAACTGTCCGCTGGGTCCATTCTTGGTTGGTTCGTAATGTTACGGTGTGTGCAGGAAGCAGGACCCAAATGCAGATTAAAGTGACAAAAAATAGCTCCTTTATTTCAAGGCTCAACTATTAACAAATACAGAACAGAACACTCACCGCAGACCAAGTCAAAACACAAGACGAACCAACACTGAACACAGGAAGAGAACAGTCTAAATACAGGGAGGGGTAATCACAAGACGAGAAACAGCCGGGCAGGGGAGGAGAAACACAAAGGCCACAGGTGAACACAATCAGACAACTAGACACACCAGGGAAACTAACGACAGGAGGAAAAACACAGGGAAAAGGACCAGACAATATACACGGAGGAAAACTGAGGTTACCTACTGTAACCCAGCTTCTATGAGTAAATGGCGCAGCCCTCTAAGGCTATCGCTATTGGGTTATCCCTCTGCGCCCCCGCGCAGCACTGAAACACTTGTAGTCCACGCCCACCCGCTAGGTGGGCCCCACCCTCGGGCTTCCTTCCAGAATAAATAGGAAGGAGGCCCGGCAATCTGCTCCCATACAAAATACATTTTCTTCAGCTATTCGTAGAGCCAGTGGGGCCCAGCGCTTAGAGGGCTGCGCCATTTACTCATAGAAGCTGGGTTACAGTAGGTAACCTCAGTTCTATTTCGTATATGGCTTCGCCCTCTAAGGTTATCGCTATTGGGTTAAGGGCGAAGCATGATGTAGTCTGCGCCTCACTGGATCCGCCCGGCACTAGAAGCACAGACACACCTGCTCAATAACACCCCCCTGCCTGTTGTGCCATGCGTAATGGCGCATCACCGTCCCTGGAACATAGCAAAACATGCCTATCTTCCCGACGGGGTGAAGGCTGGGAACAATACATACCGGCCGCTGTGAGAAAGTAGAGACGAAGGTCCCACCTTGTGCTGCGATCATAGAGGGGGAACAGCCGTGTCCGACAGGTAGGAGAGCGCACAGCTGGATCCCTGACGTCACTCACTCTGACCAGGCACTCCGTACGAAGTGTGTCAGAGTAAAGGGAACATCCCTCTCATACGAGGGGAAAAGGGCCGCTCTCCGCGTGCCGAGAGGCAGGAGAGAGGCGCACCGCTGGATCCCTGACGTCACTCACTCCGACAGGACACCCAGTACAGGGTGCGTCAGAGAGGAATGGGAGACCTCCCTCAAATAAAATTGAATAAATGAACAGGGGGAAGACCAAGATGCAGCCGTGCAAATATCTTCCACTGACATTCCTCCGTGCAACGCCGTGGAGGAGGAAAGTCCTCTGGTGGAGTGCGCCTTGATACTCTCCGGGGGCTCCACCCCAGAGGCGACATATGCCTGTGACACAGCCTCACACAGCCAGTGTGACAGCCGTTGTGCAGACAGAGGTTGCCCGATCGAGCGCTCTCTATAGTGCACAAACAGGCGCTGAGAACGGCGCCAGGCCGCCGTGCGCGCCACATAGCAGGACAGCGCGCGCACAGGACAGAGGAGATGAGACGTGGCTTCTTCCTCCGACCTGTAAGGAGGGGGGAATAAGCCAGCCAGGGTGATCACTCTTGACCTAAAAGAGTTGTGATGACCTTAGGCAAGAAGACAGTGTTTCTTGTATCCCATGGAACTGCTGGGGGGAGAGGCTTCTCTGTGATGTGCCGTAATGGTCGTCATGGTGACGTGCCACGCCATCGCCGCCGCTGCCTGTGAGGCAAAAGGGCTGCGAGGGAGTTTCCACACGCTGCATTTCACTCCGTCTCTCATCATGAGGATGAGAGGTGTGTGTATGCTGTCCACACGAGGCGTTATAACGGTGCTCGTGGATTTATTATGACCGTGTTAGGAGGCATATCTGGGACAGAGGAATGCCGCGAACTCTGCAGTTTATAAACCAATAGGTTAAAAACAGCAGGCTTCTGCAGCGAATGAACCACCTCTGGAGTGTCCCCCTTTTGACGGAGAGGGCTGTGTGGGTTGTGACATGCCGGAGGAGTTTCTCCACTCGCTGCCGCGAGAGCCGCGCTCTGCTGGCTGAGTTTAATTCCACTCCAGATAACCGTTTGTCTGAGAGGGAAGAGGACAGCTCTTCTTCCAATTTATTATGAAACCCAGGCTTTGACAGATGCGATACAAGATGTACCGTCTGTAAAGCGACTTCCTCCCTGGAGCGAGCCAGCAAATAGCAGGTCGTCCAGAGGAAACCACACTCTCATCCCTCCTCTGTGTAGCGGCTCCAGCCTTCTCTACACAAAAATGGGAGGAGCCAGGAAATATCCGAACGGCAGACGATTGTCTGGTCTGATATTCCCTGAAATGAGAAACCGCAGGAATTTCCTGTGTTTCGGGATGATGGGTACGTGGAAGTATGCATCCTTCAGGTGGAAGTGAACCAGTCGTCCTGGTGAACACATTCCAGCACTTGTTTGATCGTCAGCATGTGGAATACTGACAGATCGAGGATTTCTCATTGCCCCAGTCTTTTTCGGGATTAGAAAATTAACGGGTGAAAACCCCTGATTTTCCTCCCTTTGAGGAACCCTGGAAATATCCTCTTTCAACAGGAGTTCCAGCGGCTCGGATTGTAGCTCAAGACATAGCTTCTGGGAGGACAGGAGTGTTTCCTGTATCCCATTGAACTGTGGGGGGGGGAGAGGCGAACTGCAGGGTGTCCCCTCTGCTGATCAGCCTGCTCATCCATCTGTCCATCAGACACACGCGCTGCCACTCCGAGAAACACTCTGAGAGCGGGTGCCTATGCTCGAGATGTGTTGTGGTCGTCATGACGACGAGCCACGCCAGAGCCCTCGCCGCCGCTGCCCGTGAGGCAACCCAAGGTGGGCCTAGAGCGAAAGGGCTGTGAGGAGGCCTCCACACGCTGCATTTCACTCCGACTCTCATCATGAGACGTGTACACGCTCAGAGGATGAGTGGAGGTGTGTGCAGTGACATCCACATGAGGCGTTACCACGGCGATCATGGGCTTATTGTGACCGTGTGTAGGTGGCGTATCTCGGACAGAGGAATGCCGCGAGGTCTGTAGTTTAATAACCATTAATAATTTCTTAATAACCATTTAATAATATTAATCAACAGATTAGTGGCAGCCGGCTTAATTAGCGCGCTCTGAAATGTATTAACCGACAGGTTAAAACCAGGCTTTAGCAACGAGCCCTGCTGGCTATTAACCGAAAGGTTATAGGCAGCTGGTTTACACAGGGCGTGAGGCAACCCCAGGTGGGCTGGGACCGAACGGGCTGCGCGGGGCCTCCACACGCTGCGTCTCACTCCGACTCTCAGTTATTAACCGAGGTTAAAACCGGCAGGCTTCTGCAGCGATCCCTGCTGTCTACTTAATCAACAGATTAGTGGCAGCCGCGAAAGGGCTGCGAGGAAGCCTCCACACGCTGCGTTTCACTCCGGCTGTCATCATGAGGCGTGTACACGCTCAGGGGATGAGTGGAGGTGTGTGCAGTGCTGTCCACATGAGGCGTTAAAACGGCGCTCATGGGTTATTATGACCGTGTGTAGGAGGCGTATCTCGGAGAGAGGAATGCCGCGAGCTCTGCAGGTTATTAACCGATAGGTTAAAACCAGCAGGCTTCTGCAGGGAGCCCTGCTGTCTACTTAATCAACAGATTAGTGGCAGCTGGCTTAATTAATTAATCAGGTTCTGGTCCAGGCTCTCGTCATCTCACGCCTAGACTACTGCAACTCCCTCCTCTGCAGCTCATCCAGAATGCAGCGGCTCGTCTGGTCTTCAACCTTCCTAAATTCTCCCACACCACTCCGCTCCTCCGCTCCCTTCACTGGCTTCCGGTAACTGCTAGAATCCACTTCAAGACACTGGTACTTGCTTACCATGCTGCGAATGGATCTGGCCCTTCCTACATCCAGGACATGGTTAAACCGTACACCCCAGCGCGTGCACTACGCTCTGCATCAGCCAAACGACTCGTTGCGCCCTCGCTGCGAGGGGGACCCAAGTTCCCATCGGCGAAAACACGTGGGTTTGCTGTCCTGGCTCCAAGATGGTGGAATGAGCTCCCCATTGACATCAGGACGGCAGATAGCTTGCACATCTTTCGGCGCAAACTGAAAACTCATCTCTTTCAACTCCACTTCGAGCGTTAGAACTATTAACGAAGCACTTTTATACTAATAAAGGACTGGCTTACCTAAAGCCAGTTGAGTAGCACTTAGAATGTTTGGCTCTATGAAACCTGATGTACTTATATGATTCTGTTTTCTTCAAGGTTGTGTCTTCCTGGTTGAATGTACTTATTGTAAGTCGCTTTGGATAAAAGCGTCAGCTAAATGCAATGTAATGTAATTACCGGCTCTGCTTCCTCGGAGGCTCTCGCGGAGCAGACCAGGAGCGGGGGAGCCTCACTCCCCTTTGACTCGCCGCCGGAAGACCCTGTCTCTGAAGTGGCGGGGGAGTGGAGACGTGGGACCGCAGCCGTCTTCATGGACTCCACCATGGCGTGGAGCTGGGGTCCGAGCAGCCCGTCCGGGCTGATTGGAGCGTCCAGTAGCACTTTTCTGGCCGTCTCCGTAACAGACGCCTATACTTCAGCCCAAGGTGGCACTGGATCTGTGTCACCCACGCGGAAATCCTCACCTGGGAGACAGCGACGGACGCGCACAGAATGAGCGCCGTGCTGGCCGCTTTGCTGATTTCCTCTGCCTCGGTGGGGGACCGCTCTGCCAGTGTCCCCACCGAGTTGGAGAGCCGCGCGATGTTATTCGCCGCCGCGCTGTGGTGACGGAGAGGGGGAAAGTATGTTCCGCCACCAAGCTGGCACCCTGCTCCGACTCTGTCTCCCCCGTCCGGGGGAGAGGAGGGAGGGGAGAACCGAACTGTGGAGGGAGACGGGGCAGGAGTTGCCTTTTTCCTCGGACTCCTGCCCGGCACTCGGCCCCAGGGACACTCGGCCCCGTCCGCGGGCTCGTAAGCCTGGACGGGCCAATCGTCCTCCTCGGCCACAGCAGCAAGAGCGTCCGCTCTCCGCTTCCTGTCGCCCGAGGGGAGACGAGCGCAGTGTGTGCATGCTACCTGCTGGTTTAGAGCCGCGTATGCGTGCTCTGACCCCAGGTTGGCTGTGCTTCAGTAACTGTGCTGGTTTGCTCATTCCTATTTATACCGGAAGGAAGCCCGAGGGTGGGGTCCACCAAGCGGGTGGGCGTGGACTACAAGTGTTTCAGTGCTGCGCGGGGGCGCAGAGGGATAACCCAATAGCGATAGCCTTAGAGGGCGAAGCCATATACAAAATAGAACACGACAGGGAGAACAGCAAAACACCCAAAACAAGACATACAAAACGTGACATAACACAATAATCGTAACAAAAACAGCTCATTTAGAAAAAAAAAAAGATGAAAAGGGAATTTTAAATGTTTTTTGGAGGCACTACCTTTTCTAGATGATACATTTAAACAATATGCTTCCAAATGAGGTGTAATCTCACAAATTGTGAAGGTCAAACATCTAAGTGAAGCAACAATGATACAAATATGTTAGAGTAGAGGGAGTTTCATTTTTACTATGATGTTTCTCCCTTGGTGGTGAATGAGAACATTTATTTGTAATGTTACAGTACCACGCATTGCAATAAATAGCCATTATAAAGCCATTATGTACAGATATTATGTCTCAGGATGTGTCACCCCCTTGTGGTAGAATACTGACGCTGCATACACTTGATAGATGCAATTAAAACACTTTTTAAAACCTATTAATTTGTGAAACGTGGCCTATGCTAACATATGGCATACATCTCAAGGCCCCTTCATTGCTAATTTTCATTTATCCACCATGATGCCCTCAGACTTTTCCTCACTTTTCATCACCTGAATGCCCCACCCATCGACACACCTGTTTCCCCTCACCTGCATCTCATTCCCTCATCACTCCCTCCCTACACATACCTCTCCACTTCCTTTATTCCCCTCAGATCTCCACAGGGATGTTTCTCACCTGACTTGTCGATGTTGAGCTGTGCCAGACTCTGTGACAGGTCAGCGGGGCCCTCAGCCCCAGAGGTTGCTGGGATAATATGGATGGCGTTCCTGCGGCCAGTTCGTCGAGAGGCGATGAAGTCATCATAACTCGCCTCCTCATCCGTCATCGCTAACACCCCTCACCATAGCAGGGCCTGGCAGGTACAAATGACAACACACACATTCATTTAAGTTACATTTGAGGAAGACGACTGAAATGTTGAGAATCTGTGCAGGGCAGTCTGCACAATACAAGCATTATCTTTTTTTGTTGACAAGAAGAAAGTGACACCGCCCCCCCCCCTACTATTTTATGACCTCAACCCTGATTAATCTATTCTAATATGAGTGAAGCAACACCAAATACACGGAGGACATACATTCTGCAGATGGAATGGAACAACAAATGATGGTGCTTTTCCAAAAATACACAATTAAAGGGGTAATTACGGCACAAGGGAGGAGAGGACTGTATTCAAATGTCATTCCGCTTGTAGTAGGCATGGTGCATGATGGGAGCTGTGTTGCTGCAGAGATTTAGGTTAAACCCCTCTGTTGACATTATTACAATCTCTATATCAATCTGCCTGTGTGAAGCTGGCCTTCAGCTTCCCTCCATTTTCCCTCATTAAAATCTGTCAGTCTGAGTTTTTACCATTCATTTCTCAACATATGCACTTATAAAACAAAAGCATTATTTTCTGCACTTTGTATCCCCTTGGACATACAAAGGTTGTTTGATTTTTTTTCTAAATGACCTCAGCTCCCACATCCATTTGTGGCTATTTCCAGAGCTGAGCAGGCTGCTATTGACTGTGGCTATTTTTGGAAACCTCCTATGTCATCATCTGAGCACGCTCCCACCCGGCTGTCATTCCCAAAATGGGGTCAAGACTGCAAAGAACCAACAGATGTTGTTTGTGTACAATTGTCAGCCTCAACATGTTGAAGCAAGAGACACAGCATGCCTGTTCTCCAATATAAGAATTAAATTAGTGTTTTATTTTAAAGGCAAATGTTTGAACTGAGAGTGATGATAATGGATTGCGGGATTTAGCAAGAAGATCCACAAGATGAAGACTTTATATAACCTCACCCTTAAGAACAATCTATAATTAAATTGATTAAAAGTCTTAGACACTATCAAACAAGATGCAACATACTTATCAATAGCTTCAGAACACAAAGCTTAATGTTGAAATACAAAATATGTCAACAGAAAAATATATTTTTTTGATAAATATCAAATATTTTTTGATAAATATCATCATTACTAATTGTATAGGTCATCTGTAATGTAGATATTTTAACTGAAGTAGTACTATTTGAAGCTAAAAGTGGCAGCACATTCTTGGCCTGTGTTTCCTTTGGTCATATTCTATGAAATATTAATCTACAGTTTACATAATATAATCATTATGTTGCACCCATGAAGTAGCAAGGTCTGCGTGTGAGTCATTCTTATCAAGTTTTCCTTAGAACTTTGCTCCCAATTGAGAGCCTGAACGATACATTCTCCAAATAAATGTTACTGAATAATGCAGGAAGTCAGCATGCTCTGTCCTCTTGGTAAAAGCTAAAAAGCAACAAAAAAACTGTCCTGCTCTACAGCCTAGTTGTTCTGCTAACCAGAAAATTATGTGGGGAGGGGAGTAGGGAATTGAGTCCCCACTAATTTATATAAGTGTTATTTTGGGTGACTTGGGCATAACTTGGAATGATGCCCAACACTGTCCCTCACACACAAACCTATACAAAGTCATTAGTATATGTAATTCAGAGACATTTACTAATTGTAATCCTCACTATATCTTAGTATCACCAATATCTGAATACAATATATAAAACATGAGTTATTTCCCCAGCATTATATAGGATTAGTGGTTAATATATTAAATGCCCTTGCCACGAGCCCTTGCCACGTAATGGCATTAGACCATTGAAAAACTTTATTTTATGGTTTAAAAATAATTCATGTCTGCACATGTTTATCATCTATTATGGGCTAAATAGGATAGCATGTGGTCGTGCGTAATTGGGTTTTCCAATAAATCATTGCATTGTTGACACAGTGAAACATAACCTTTGCATAAAAACAGTAATGGTGCAGGAAGATCGACATGTTCCATTATAAATCCACAGCCATATGTCTTTCCCTGATGACAAAGACTCCCATAGAGCTCTGCCAGTGCCAGTAAACGCATCATGCATATTAAGTTCACATTAAATTACGATGCCAGGCATGCACACTCTGTTCCTAAAAAATGTAATCCTTATTATTAATATTATTATCTGCAGTGTACCTGTTTGGGTTAAAAGGCTTCCCAATATTCGCAAGGGTCAATCACATCAATTGTTATGCCACTCCGGTATTCCCCATGTTCAGTGAAAGAGGATTTACCAACGTCAAATCAATACCAGAATACAACTGCTTCCGGATGACATTTCAAAATAAAACCCTTGTTTTTTTAACCATGTGCAACCAGGAGTAAAATAGTATTTAACAGTCAGGGCTTGAAAACAACTTTTTGCAACACCTAGGGTGTTACTGTTTTTGATTATTTATAATTGGTTATTACTTGCATATGTTCAACACTTTGCAATTTACTGGTTGAACAAAGGACCATAGGCTGTTTTAGAAGGCTATTTTTTTGTATTCAGCTGAACCCCGAATTGTCACTAACCAAACTATTTTGAATGAAAGTGAAAAGGTCAGATGACAGATGGACAAGGCAGTTATTGTGTGTGTGTGTGTGTGTGTGTGTGTGTGTGTGTGTGTGTGTGTGTGTGTGTGTGTGTGTGTGTGTGTGTGTGTGTGTGTGGTGTGTGTGTGTGTGTGTGTGTGTGTGTGTGTGTGTGTGTGTGTGTGTGTGTGTGTGTGTGTGTGTGTGTGTGTGTGTGTGTGTGTGTGTGTGTGTGTGTGTGTGTGTGTGTGTGTGTGTGTGTGTGTGTGTGTGTGTGTGTGTGTGTGTGTGTGTGTGTGTGTGTGTGTGTGTGTGTGTGTGTGTGTGTGGGAGGGATGGCACAGACTAGTCAGTGTTTGAAAACAGTGATCGTGTTGTGATGAAAGCAGAAAGGCTTTAAGTAGGCTAACACTTTGACTGTGGTCTCATAGCATCTGGCTGTGAATTGCTCCATTCAGATGACACATGTGCTCAATATGCCAAACTGGGAACTTCCGAGTGCTCTGGGCAAGTGTTCGAGCCAAAAAGAAGCCACAAGAGGATACACTAGTTTTATTGTTTAAGGAGATGATCACCGTTATCTTCAAATGAGGTCTGTTACAGGACAAGGTTAAAATATAAAATAAACAAAACTACCAATTGGCCATATTTTATAGACCACATTGTATTGGTGTGTAGCAAACATGTATAACAATTTGCGTAATACTTCCATATCAGGTAGATTTATATTTGTCTGTTTCATTACGAAAATATGTAATTAACATATTTCCAAATAAGTCTATTCATTACACTGTTAGCTTATATTATTGTTCGAACCTTGCAATACTATATAAGTAAAATGAGGAAGGGTTCCTTATATCAACAAAATTGCAAACTTGGTTTATTTAAATGCATTATTTGGGAAGGATGATGATGGGAACAGGAGAACAGCATGGATGTAGAAAAAGAAGAACAGCGGTTTCCTCCGTAATACATCTATGGCTACCTTCCACACCCATCGCTGTTTAAAGTGCCGTGCAGTAACAACCAATGAAATGGTCGGATGTTGGCAAATGAAGACAAATGAGTTGCTATTGGTAGCCAAAGATCAGTAATTTCAAGATAGTTCATCCTCATCCCAAACCTACGAAATCCAGTGTCTGTTAATTTGACCTAAATTATAAAGTAACATATGTAAGAGCCTACTGAATCCTGAAAAATGAATATGAATAAGGGATTATGTAAAAATATAACGTATACACATGCAACCTAAATATACATACATTAAAGAAGATATCATGAGGAAATCCTAGTAACATTTTCTGCTAAAGACATAACCACATTGCCTACAAAATAAACCTTCAAAGCAAAATGTAAAGCTTCCAAAAAGACCATATATTTAAATCTACATTCTTTATTTCTGCAAAGTACATTTTTCTTAGCATGAATTGATGTTATTTCACCAATTTAGGAGTCTACCCTCCCTATTTTAGCGAAGCCGGAAGTAGGCAGGGGGGAATCCTCTCACTTCCACTGGCTGCTTTTGATCGTTTGTAACAACAGAAGCATCAGACAGCATAACCTAATGATGGAAGAATTTGAAGGTGAGAGAAATAACTCTCTAATGTGTTTATTTGATCTGTTTTGTGGCTAAGTCGGACTCACAATCTCACGGTCTTTGTCCTCACACATGGGCGGGTTCCTTTTTGCTTTAGTTAACCCGTTTTTGTCAACGACCTCCTTTTTTGTGTGGGGTTTAGCCCAAGTAATGCTAGGTAACGACAGGGCCAAAGATGAAGCTAGCTACTCTTGATGTGATTCCTACATTAGCATTAGGAGCTATCCACTGTTAGCATGCTGCTAAATAATAACACTTGCCATAAATTAAATCGTTTTGTTCGTATTGATTCAAGACGCTAAATGTGGGCAGCAACTACCGTTACACTCATATACTGACGACATGTACTGTAACTACTGTCCTACTAAAATACCTTCAGTTTTCCCTGGCATTTGTATGTTAATGGTGGAGTTCGTGTAAAATGAACTAATGTCTATCAACGTAACGATGTATAGCATTGTGTTTTTGTGCCAACAACAATGATTTATGTGAGCGATAGTGAGCATTTATTTAACTACCATGTATCAAATATGGTGAACAATCCCAATGTTAGTCTACACATGACCCTTTTATCACTTAAACAAATATGGCCAGCTGTGGTTAATTACTGTTCTTTTGCATATAAATCATCCTTTACTGTAACACACATACATGTGTTTATTGTTGCAGATGGTGAAGCTCCTTCTGGAGAGGAGCTGATACAATGCACCACCTGTAAAAGATGTTTCTTCCCTAAAGTCCTGGTAAGAAATGATCATTTGTAATATTCTTAAAAGAGATATAAAGCCATAGTGGCTCAGTAAGTAGGGCGTGTTCGATCTCATTTTCCTCCAGACTGCATGTACTTTCTCCCTAAGGCTGTGTGTGTATGACTGGGCATTCAGATCAGATCCTGATGAGTGAATGGGTGAATGCTGACATGTAGTATAACAGCGCTTTAAGTGATTAGAAAACTAGAAAGGCTCTATTCAATGCATCTCCATTGACTGTAGCACTCCAAAGGAAGATACAGTGTTTTAAGAGCAGGTACATTTCGAAAATTATGCATGCACTAAGAATTTGTTCTAGCTAGCAAGATATCAGCTGTTTCGATGGGTTATTGGCTCCAACCCAAATAGCCAATAGGACTCTGTGAAGAGCTCTTTATAAGTTAAGACTAAATGATTGTAAACTTTCACTTATGATCTTTCTATGAGCTCAAATATATTCTCAAATGTAAATTCAAGAGTACAAATTGTAGATAGCGGTTTCTAATGCCATATGTACAAAGGAATCAAACATAACAAATGCTGGGTTTTACATTTGGAGCTTTCTCAAAGGTGCTACGTATAACAGTGAGATGTAATCTTTTGGGATGAATCTCTATCCAGAAGTTATACAGTACATACGAAACACCTTTTTATTACCCACGCTGTTTTGGCTCTCATAATGTTTTGTATTCAAAAATATATAATGACTATCCATGAACTGTACACATTTCAAATGTCTGCAAATGTTTCTTAAGCTTTTAGAAACAGATTAAGCTTGTGTATTTGTAAATCTCTCACCAGGGGAAACATGCTAAGATCTGCCAGAAGTCCGCCGCTAAAAGGAGGAAGGTTTTTGACTCAGGTCGACAGAGAGCTGAGGGAACAGACATCCCCACGCTTAAACCCATCAAACCAAAGGTAAGACTAATCCAAAGCAGAGGGATGGAAAATCTAACTTTAAAATCCCACACAGTTAAATCGGATTAGAATTAGGTAGCAAAAAATGGCTTTAGCTTGTACATCCGTCTGAAAACTCCCCGTGATGTAAAAATGTAAGCCTGAATACATTTAGATGCTTTCGATTGTATTTCAGTCACAAAGTTCATCTTCTTCTGGAAAAGTAAGTTGATTTTGTTTGTCCTTTCTTTCTGTTCATGGGATTTTAGTGGCCTAGTTAAATCACTGAAGTTTTGTATATTCTGATTTCTCGCTTTCAATTATTTGCCTAAATAGTCTTGAGATATTTTAACGCATACTGGCGGTAGTATTGTTTTATAAGACCCTAATCTACAACAGACAATAAACAAATGAATGTGCATCAAGGCCCTCCACTCATTGGGGCCAGTGTGAAGTCCGTTGCATTGCAGTTATTTAGATTTCAACTAAAAAACACTTATATTTCTGGTGTTTTCGCTTCAACTAACTGCTGCACACTTGCTCTGCCCTCCACCTGGAATAACAATATTCCCAGTGATCATGTCATGTGATTCTCTCAGTAGTACATCATTACCACTTTGAAGTCCTTAAATAGGAGGCAATCTGTGAGTCGAGTCGTATATATAGAATTAACTAGAAATATGGTTAAAGGGAATAAAGGAAATATACTGTCGCTTCAGTTCTCTCAAAGTCATCTTTGTTAGTGAGACAATCGTGCGTTATTGAAGACTGTAACTGCATAAGATGAAGCAGGAAGTCAGCAGGGATATCATGTTGCCACAGAGACGACTCAGAGGACGCTCTCTGAACTACTTCTGTCAAAAATCATCAGCTTTAGATAAGACTCAGACTGCCACTGTGGGAAAACAAATATTTTCTTTTAATGTCAATGCAAAATAGAAAAAAAGTGAATTGGTTATGACAGACAGAATAGTTGCATTCATTAAAAATACTCCTAAATAATTGGAATACCAAGGCTTTTATTTGTTGAACATGGAAAGTAACTAGAGACTGAGTACACAGGTCACTTCAAGTAATGACTCCGTATAGCAGAGATGAGGTTTCCCATGTCAGCGGCATAGCTGTCTGGTTGTGGCTTTTTAAATGGCTGCTGTAACGATGCATCTTGTCTGTGTGGCCTCCTGCCAGGCAGAACCCCCGAAGAAGCCGTCCAACTGGCGCAAGAAGCATGAGGACTTCATCGCTACCATCCGGGCTGCCAAGGGAATCGATCAGGTCTTGAAGGATGGAGGACCTTTACCCCCGCCTCCCCCTGCTACTTATGACCCAGGTAACATGTCGCTTTATAGAGAGTGGAATTAAACAAGAAACTTAAGTGACTGTAATAACTAGAGCTGTATTATGGTTACTGTTAAGAAACTGTGTCAACTTGTGAACAATCAGCTGCTTTCCAGGGCCCATGATTAATGTC